CAAGTCAGTCAGTCGCCATGATTCTCCCACTCCAGACAGACGCAGGTTAAGATCTTTCCTGGTAAACTACCTTGTGGGCTACACAGATTATTAGAAATGGGTTAGATCAATATGTAAGAGCTAGCCAATAAGAGGCTGGAACTAATGGGCCAGGCAGTGTTTAAAAGAATACAGTTTCCGTGTAATTATTTCAGGGCATAAGCTAGCCATGTGGGCAGCCGGGTGCCGGGGATGCAGCCCACCGCTCCTCCCCACAACACTAGTGTATATTTCTATAGATTCTATAGATTACATTACAACTTGAGTCATAGTGAAATGATCAGTTCCCTCTGTCAATCATTCTTGCCCCTAGAATAATGCAAGAAGCTTCAGGTGTAACCCCACCTGAAGACACTTTGTTGATAAAACTTTATATAAAAGTCAATCAAATTAGATTTTAATGAAAAGATAAAGGACACTAGCAGAAGTTTTCTTCCTCTAACAATATTTTTACTTATCCTTTGAAATTTTCCTAAATGCATACATGTGTTTTGATCATATCCACCCATCACTGACCTTTCCAACCCACCCCCCATGGACGTCCTCCAATGTGTGCCCCTCCCAATTCTGTGCCGCTCTTCTCATCTTCTTTTTAAACAGTGCACTGAGTCCAATTCGAGCTGTCTGCTGTGCCACCAGGGTGCACACGGAGCATGAGTCACCGACCAGTGGGTGCACACGGAGCATGAGTAACCAACTAGTGGCCACGTCCCCCAAAGAAAAGTAGCCCCTTCTTGCTGCAGCTGTCAGCTACAGAAACTCCTCGCTTCCCTGACCCTTAGCATTAGCCATTTCCCCAAATAGAGAGATGCTCCATGAAGAAATCTGATGGAGGAAGGTCATTGGCTAATAAAGAAACTGCCTTGGCCCATTTGATAGGCTAGCCTTTAGGTAGGTGGAGTAAACAGACAGAATGCTGGGAGAAAGAGGAAGTGAGGTAAGACGCCTCAGACAGATGCCATAGCTCTGCTCTCTGAGGCAGACATGATGAAGTTCCGACCCAGGGTGGACTTAGGCTAGAATCTTCCTTGTAAGCGCACCTCGTGGTGCTACACACATTAATAGAAATGGGCCAAGCAGTGTTTATATGAATACAGTTTGTTTGCTGTTATTTTGGGGCATAAGATAGCCATTGGCTGGGAGCCTGCAGCTCCCTTAACAGAAATCCATCAATGTGCACCTTCCAATCTCTGGACACTAAAGTGCTCCATCTCAGGAGCTAGAGGGACAGCTTGTGATTGGTTTGCATATTGAAGGCCCATCTAAAAGCAAGCAAGTAACGACACTTCCAAACACTTGGTTATATAGTTCTTGATGAAGTTCTCGTTGTTAGGTTCCAACAGATAAAAGTGGTCACCTGGCAGCATGTAGCTGTCAACCTTCCCGCTGGTTATGTCTTCCCAACCTAAGGAATATACAGCATTGTATTTAGTAACCCATGGCATCAGCCAATGACAGCAGAAGACTTACTTCCAGGTACTATTTCACTAAAAGCTGACACTCAGTGATAGAGTTACATCCAGGGTCTCAGGTTCTGTGTATCCTGTGTTTTTAGTCTCTTTAAGACCTACCACTATTAAGTGGTGTGACCCGTAACTTAAATTTTACAGGAGACCAGCATCTCTTTGTTTACACACAGGAATTCTTAGGCTGATTTTCTATGCATTTCAGTGAATGTTAGCTGACATATGCCGAGAACCCTCCAACACATCTTTCAAGAAAATACCCCGAAATATAAAAGCAATTTCACCTTTTATGTCCTTTACTGTATCTTCAGATCCGAAAAAGCATGTTATGTCCTGAGAAAGAAGAGCCTCCGAGGGCGTGTCAAAGCTGTAAATGAGAAAAGGCTGTTTGTAATTTCATTTTTACATCCCAGTCTTCTCCTCTTCCCGACTTCACTGAAAGGAAACAGGGCATACAGCCTTGCTTCTTCCCCTTCTTCTGCTGGTCCCAACAAGGAAGACAATCACAGGGACTGCCTCTCTCTATCAGAACAGACATGAAGTTCATGGGGAAGGAGACAGAGCTGGGAGGTCACAGGCTTTGATCTCTCCCAGCTGAAAGTGGGCTAATGGTCTGCACCATGTTGACGGAGATGGGGAGGGCCGAGAGATGCCTGTGGGCCTCGTGTGATATATTTTAAGGAGCTGAGAGCTAAGGAGAGGGGAGGGCAGGGCAGATTTGGAAACAGGAAGGAAGGAAGGGAGATGAGAGAAGATTCAAGAGCAGATTGGAAAGTGCCTTTGGAGTCTGGAGGAAGCTAACTGTGAGGAGCCAGCCCAGTGTGAGTCCCTGAGAAGAGTGTGAATATTGAGGGCACTTCTCACGTGGAGAAAGCCATCCCTGGGTGAGTTTCTGTTCGTGTAATTCTGAATTACATATATATGCATATATATGTTATATATTATATATATTTCACATGATTTTTACGTATATAAACATACACATATATTATTGTATGATGTGTGTGTAAAGTAAAAATCCAATTTTTTACTTTTACATTGGATATCCAGTACCCCAAAATTGTTTATTAATTAAAGAGACTGTACTGGGCTAAAGATGACTCAGTGAGCAAAGATGCTTGTGACCAAACTTCATTACCTGAGTTCAATTCCTGGGACCCACACGGTGGAAGGAAAGAACCAACTTTCAAAAGTTGTTATCTGACTTCCACATGTATACTTTTGCATGCACATACAGTTGCCTCCCACACTGAGACTAAATAAATAAATGAATAAATAATAGTTTAAATGTATTAGAAGTCCTTTCCCAATAGTATATTCTATTTATATTTTGCTATTTAGCATAAATATGTAGTTTATTTGTGTCCCTTCTAATTCTCTGCATTAGTTGGTATGTCTCTTCTTATGCCAGTACTATGCTGTTTCAATTTCTAAAGCTTAGATTTTAGTTAATAAAGTTTGAAAAGGATTTGAGGTGATAAGAGGCCGCAGAGGTGTCACGTGTGTCCCTGCTCTTGGCAGCCCCTTGCCATCCCAATGGACGCTTCTTTCCACGTTACTGCTTGAATGACAAAGGCAGAGGGATGGTGAAGACAGCAGAACACAAACTGATCTTTCTGTGACAAGAGCGTTTTAAAACACTGCCCTTAGCACACCTCAAGATGACAACATAGAGTTCCCGACTGCAGCCGCCGTTGGCACCGATTCTTCCACAGACCTGCATGTGTTCTCTAGTTGCCTTCCTTACTGTGGCTCTATAGTGTGATTGGAAATCAGGTGTGGCAAGACCTGGTGTCGCATTGTTTTTTGTTTGCTTATTTGTTTGTTTTTGTTCAGGATTGTTTTAGAAATTTGGTCTTTTGTGCTTCCATATGAATTTTAAGAATTATTTCCCTATTCCTATGAAGACTATCACTAGAATGTTAATGGGCACTAAACTGATTTTTTAAATTGTAACTGAATACTAGCTCTTCAAAATTTGTTCTCTCTCTCTCTCTCTCTCATTCATTCAGTGGGTATTTCTTAAATCTTGACTCTGGGCTATTTTAGAAGCACAAAACAGCTTATCCTGGGGAGACAATCAGACACAGAAAAAGGGAGAATGACTTGGAGCGTCTGGCAGAGGTGGGGGCACCACGAACTTTGTGACAGACTGAGGGCGGGTGACGAATGGATACAGAGAAAATGATGTGGCTGTGTCGGTTTTCAAGATGACTGCCCCAGTTTTGTAACTGTCAACTTCCACTGGCAAGTAGCATGCCTCCTCCCCTCCCCTCCCCAGCACACACACACTGCCCCAGCGCTAGTTCTGGGCTTTGTAAAAGAAATAAATATGCTTTGAAGAGTCTTAGCCCAGGGGAGTCAGGTCTAGCCAGGCATGAGAATGCAGGAGACAAAAGGCTGACCTCAAAGTGATTTCCCTTGGGAACTCAAGATTCTGAAGCCTCCCTGACAACAGACTCAGGGGTCTGGGGAAGGATTTGATGTGCTAACATGTCAGTCTGATCAGAAAAACCAAGCATGGAGACTGATAGCCTCCCAGAGAAGGGGAATGGAGAGGGGTATGGAGTTCTGGAATTCATTCACTGAATAGTGAACTCAGCCAAGCCTCTGCTCCCGGCTCTCACCTTCCACACTTAGTAAGTAGCCAATCCACTCTTGCTGATACCTAGAATGTGATGGCAATAATTTGTACAATACATATTTATTATGTGACAAAACATGCAATCATAAATAATTATGAATATTTTTAAAGAAAAAAAACTGCCAGTCACCTTTGAAAGATACAATTCCTGTGCCCCAAATCCATTCCAAACCAGAAAAATATCCCAAGAGGCCTCAGAGCACATGAATGTGATGGAGGAAGGTCATTGGTTAAATAAAGAAACTGCCTTGGCCCTGATAGGTTAAAATTTAGATAGGTGGAGTAAACAGAACAGAATGCTGGGAGAAAGAAGCTGAATCAGGGAGTCACCATGATTCTCCCACTCCAGACAGACGCAGGTTAAGATCTTTCCTGGTATACCAGCTTGTGGGATACACAGATTATTAGAAATGGGTTAGTCTAGGTGCTAGAGTTAGCCAAGAAGAGGCTGGAACTAACTGGCTAAGCAGTGTTTAAAAGAATAGTTTCCATGTAATTATTTCGGGTATAAAGCTAGACCATGCGGGCCTATTTCAACACGAATGCACTGCAGCCTTTAGAGTATTAGATTCTCGTATGCACAGCCTCTGTGAGCTGCCAATCTATATTATTTTTTCTCTTCTTTTGGGGTGAGGTTTCAAGACAGAGTTTCACTATGTAGCCCTGTTTGTCCTGGAACTCACTCTGTGGACCAGGCCTGCCTCGAACTCAGAGATCCACCTGCCCCCTGAGTGCTTAATGTTGAGATTAAAGGAATGCACCACCACCACCTGGCCTATGTTTTTCTATAAATATAAACTCATGTGCACGCGCGCGCTCACACACACACAGAGACACAGAGTTACTTACAGGAAGTTTTTCACAATGGCAGCATCTGCCTTCAGAATGGGAATGCACTGACTCAGAACGTCCTGGTCATCAATGAGATGCTTGGGGGTGCCTCCGAAATTCAGAAGGTAGTGCCTGACTTGTTCTTCCGACAGTGTGTTCAGTTCAGGAATTGAATGCCGGGATATTGACTTGAAACATCAACAAACACAAGGTTGATCTTTCATGGAACACACAGGCCCCCACAACCCAAGCCTGCTGCCTTAAATCCAGGAGGAAGAAGAAAGTGTCCTAAGAACTTTAGCATCAGAAGTCCACCAAACTGGCACTCCCAAGTTAGAATGCTGGGCCTGTGCCAGTTTCTGCAGAGGAAGCAAAGAAGGTCAGTGCTGGCAAGAAGGAACCAGGAGTCACAAGACTGGCTTAAAAAGTCACAAATGATTGGTTTCTCTTCTTATGTTGGTAAGTTCCCAACTGAGGTAATATGCTGAGGACAAAAAGCAGGGTCAGATAGCACTAGCTCCAGAGGGACAGAAAACGGGGAGGGACAACACTAGCTCCAGGGGGACAGAAAGGAGGGACGGACAGCACTAGCTCCAGGGGGACAGAAAG